ATGTGCAATACGAATTTGCGACAGACATTATCAAGGCATGTTGTGTAATGCACAACTTTGTTTTGAATCGAGATGGAGTACAAGCGACCGATGACATTATCTTTGATGATTCTGATCTGCAAATGTTGCATTTGCCCACAGCAAATGAAAATAATTTAAGCCCACATCTAATACGGAATGATTTTTGTAATTACTTTTCCAGTGATGTTGGCGCCCTAAGTTGGCAATTAAACAAAATATGAATATAGTTTTGAATCAAGTGTCCACTCTACGACTATAAATGTTACTCTATGCACAAGAAACGTTTGAAGTGCAACCATTAAAATTATAGCTATCTCTTTCAATTGCGTTTTATTTCATATCTTTTGGTTTGCTTATCAGTAAAACTTGCAAATGTGTGCAGTTTTGGATTGCTGGGAGGTAATGATTTAAACACAGGAACAGATTTAAAACGTAAATTACTATGAACATAACTTATCTTTAGTTTAAAATATCATTGCCTAAGACTATATGTTACTACTTACCCAGTTTTGATTTTTCGGTTGAGTTTTTTTCCTTGTAATCAACATAAACGATCTCACAAATGCTTTTCCATGCTTCTTGTTTTATAAATTTGTCTTTATAGGTTTCGTCACTAGTATCCCACAAACAACGGTGTTCCTGAACCGAAGATATAAACAGATCGACGTCAACGTCAGACATTTTAATTTTAAAACTGCTTCTCGGTTGACACGTGTTGTTTGCAAGAGTGTTAGAAACAAACTGCATCATTGTCAACAAGTATGACGTCATAACGCTGGAATTCACGTCGTGCGTTGCGGCGCCGCACCGCTATAGCGCACTGCCGATTTCAGCGGCGCGGCGCCGCAACGCGCTTATGTGTTTCGGCCCTTACAGTCTAGCTTATGCGGGCTAAAGCTCTTTCGTAGTCTTTAAAAGATTTTTCCCGAGTAAGCGGTACCTAAAGGGTGTAAATGCGATTAAGTAATGCTTCGGTGTCCACACAATGGCGTAGTGTGCACTCATGTGAGTAGAGATAGCTAGTGAATCGTGCCTTGCCGCATGAACGCAACCAGAGGGAATAGAATATAGACAATTATTTCTATAAGTAATCTTACAGCTACACGTATATTATTATTTATTTATTTTTTCTTTTTTTATGGCTCTGGCACGATTTCTCCATGTACGGTTTAGGCACTCGCACTGTACCGCACAACCCTCCCAAAGGCCGAGAACAAATTTAAATTAAATTAAAACTTGCCCTCGAACCGGGAATCGAACCCGGTACCCCTCACCTAGCTGCCACTTAATAAGACCGCTAGGCTATGAGGCCCCCACGTATATTATTATAAATGATACAAAGCCAAAACAGATTACATATACGAAATAAAAGACATAAGTCAATTGTCAGTCATAAATAGATAAAAAAGAAAACTGAAATTAATTAATATACTACTACCCTAAAAATATTAAGAACAAAAGAAATTTTTACTACTGCTAAATAGTCAAGTCAGTCTTTCCGATTCCTAAAATCCTCACACCCTTGAGGATTATAAAAATATCCCTGACAAAATTTAGTTAATTTTATTAAAGTTACCAAATTAGTATTTGACTTGATGGCTGCTCCCGGTCTATTACTCGTGGAGTGAAACTATTAAAAAATGTTTAATTTCGTTCGTTCGTCAGGTTTTAAACCGTTTTTGAAGGTTGTCAGACTTAGCCTTTGTCGTATAGCATAATCTAAATAATGTTAAAACTAGATTCCGCGCCACCACTGAATGCCGATAGACGCGGCGCTAGCGAGTAGCGCGGCGTAGTAATATGTTGCTAGTGCTAGGTGCAAGGCTAATTTACCCCAACGTAACATAAATTAATATGAAATTCGCGAACTACTCTCCAAGATTTGCTTCTAATGTTTTACTTTAAAATGAATATTTCACTGTAACGACAAATTTAGTTCCATAGTTCCCGTCGGCAATGAGTGGTGGCGCGGACTCTATATCGAGATGTTGAAGTTTGTATCACTAAAGAGTTTCTATAGTTCTTATTATCTTCTGATTCTATATGGCTTCTCATTTATAAAGAATAAAAAGGTTGTATTAAAAACCTGAATTTATATCCGTTTATTTAAAATATTTGTGAAGCGCTCCGTGGGCGAATTTGGAACTAAAAGAAAGCAATTTAATATAAATTAATAGAAAATATGAAAAACATATCGTAGATCATACAACACAACAGCAATCGTAGTCAGCGAGTTAGTGAGTAAATAAATAAGTTAAAATTAAAGCTTTTATACATTTTACGTTAAATTTAGAGGCACCATTAGGAATATTACCGATTTGCAAATGTATTCCCCAGAACAAATATTTTACCTTGATATTTCGATAATGTAAAATATAATAGAAAATTATTTTATCAATATATGCATATGAGACATTTTATTTACTATTTACTATAATTATTTTACATTTATTATATTGTTTTTATAGATAATCGATAGTGAAGTAATAACAAAACTCGTGTTTTTATTAAAAAAAGTACTTATAAACTATGATACTGATTTTCTGTAAAAATTTAATGTAAGGTTCAAAATAACATTATGAATATCCTAATCGACTACATAATTCGTCATTAATTTAAAAAAAGGGTGCGTGTACTTATGTATCTACGCGCGTAAGAAGTTATAGGTACTTCTTTGGCATTATTAAAAATAGTTTTTGATTGCATGCAAATAATTAATAATCAAAGACTGGAAAAGGAGTCATTATAGTCAATAAAGTTCAGTTTACATTTGAAAAATTAAATAAATAAATATTTATTATTATTCTCTTACATGAAGTGTAACATAAATGCCGTAGCATCTTCCGTGGGCAACTTCATTCTGTTAATTTTGTGTCACATTGCGCGGGCATCGTAAAATTTCAGTCTGATCAATTTTTCATAACGCGCCTAAAGAAGTATAACTTCAAAATATAACTGTATCCAATCTAGCTTTTTAACTCTGCACTTCTTTCTAACTTCGTCCTTTCCTGTAATAACAAAGTTCTAAGTTTGTATATATTGACCTCCTGCATGTCCCCCAGTCTGTGGTTTCATGATAGTGTAAGATTTTTTGGCGGGAAAACTAATTTACGTATAATAAACAACCAGACTTTTAGACATCAAACTACAAATAAAAGAGCATAAGATACATAATTTTTATTAAGCACAATAATCGGTATTTATTACGAATTAAGTTAAATTACAACAATTTATAATGTTTATTTATACATTAGTTTCATTCTTAAAACATCAAATTTAAATACCTTCTCCAGGTATTTAAATCGAAAGACAATTAGCGCGCTTCGCTTAATTGGTGAACATCATTTCTAGTCCAATCACAGACAAGCGAAACATTATTTTTTATAACGCCATCTAGCGCTTGAAGATGATTGCTAGGCGCTAAGTAATTTTGTTTGTTGAATCTCGTATCGTTTTCACATACTCGTACATAGACTAGAAGTTATATAGGAAAAGTAAGAAATGATATCTCTCGTTTAATGTTTAAGAAATTTATTGTAACATTAATAAGCATATTACTTAGACATTTAAAATTGTACGGTAAACAATAACTGACATTAGAGAAAAATAAAATACAATAGGAATGTTTTGAACTTTAGATATTAATAACAAAAATTATTAAAAATTTGACATATTGGTTTAAGCTTATTGATATATGTTTTGAAATGATTTTAAGGATTTACATGATTATCATACATTAAAATACACATTTTATTAGAAAAATAGATTAAGTTAGAGCCATATAGTTAATACACAATATACATTGACACCCTACTTATAATCACCTCTTAACTATCACATTATAGAAAAAAAAAACTTATTTTCAATCATATGTGAGGCTTAATTTAAAAAACATAAATATGTATGTTCTGAAATACTTTTGATAAGGAAACAATTTCTTATAAAAAAAAACAGTGGCGCTACTACCTCTTTTAGGTCTTGGCCTCGGATTTCTGAATCTGTTTCATGATCATTTTAAATCTAATAGGCAAGTAGGTGATCAGCCTCCAGTGCCTGACACACGCCGTCGACTTTTTGAGGCTAAGGAATGCCGGTTTCCTCACGATGTGCGCACATAGAGAGAAAGTCCATTGGGGCACAGCCGGGGATCGAACCTACGACCTCAGGGATGAGAGTCGCACGCTGAAGCCACTAGGCCAACACTGCTCTTATAAAAAAGGAATGTCAAATATTCAAATTTTAATACTACGCGGCCGTGGGCTTGACCATGGCCGTGAACTTTTGACCAAATTAACAGAGTTCAAGGACAAAATAAACAATATTTCAGAATCGAGCCTTCGCCGAGCCTTCGCGCTAAGTATTACTTCCGTATGTCAAAAACCTATTGGATTTTGATACACAAGTGTCAAATTCGGGCATCTTCTTCTTCTGCTTAACTAATTCATAAGTAGAGGCATTTTTGAAAAATAGAAGTGGAAAAAGAGTGGTGGAGAGTTTATTGCCAGTTCTTCTCTTCAATTCTACGCCCTTGATTTGAGAACTGGCAGTAAATGTAAAATTAGCAGAATTTTTTTTTGACGTTCATAAGTGTATGTAGACGATATAAAAGGGATAGCGGGAAAAAACTGGAAAATTGTCGCATCAAATAGGGATAAGTGGAAGAATCTGGAGGAGGCCTTCACTCCATCGGAGGTCGAGTACAAGTGTAAAACTTAAAAGACATAGACTTACTGTAGTTATAGTGTACTCGAATAAAGGCTATTTTTATTTTATTTATTTATTAAGTGTATGTTGAACTATATGAATAAATGATTTTGACTTTTGACTTATTTTTTTACTTTTGCGATTATACAATACAACCTGTATTTATATATATCCTGGTTTTATTAGGAGGTGTTTATAAGTAAGTTAAGGATAAATAATTTAACAGTCTCACACACAAGCAAGTGTCCACACAATTATACTATGAGATCCATTTGTTAGAGCAAAGATTGTTCCACCATTATTTTCTCGAAGCCATTAGGAGGCGGATACCGAAAATTATCGAGAATTACATCCAATATCGCGCCATCATCAACTGAAAAAAATAATAAAATTCCAATGAGTCCAGGTAACATAGGCTACATATTTTTTAAATAGTCCAGTCATGCAAAGCCACGCAGGCTGCTAAAAATAATTACATATTAAGAAAATAAAAGCAAGCGCCCTTTTTAAAATTATTGCTAAAAGCTGAAAATGGGCCATTTTAGGTTCAGGGTCAGTATGATTGAATTGAAATAAAGATAAACAAACTAATAATGCATAGTTTCTCCAAAAATTTAGCCTCAAAATCCTCACACAAAAAAAAACAACAAAAAATTGGCCAACTTTTGCATCCAAAATTTATTATGTATAAAAATTAATATATAAATCTGTGTGTGTAATCCTAAATGGATGGATTTTGATGAAATTTTTTGTTTGGATTTGATTATTTAAGATGTGTCCGGTCTTCTAGTATTTTTATAAACTTTCTGTTAACACTGCATAATTTATTATAAAAACAAATGCAACTCACCATATAGGGCCGGATAAACTGTCCCTCTAACACTACGTACTGGTATTTCCATATTCTTGCCGTTTAAAAAGAAATTTAACTCAACATGATCATACGCTAATCCTATAACATCACCTTCCACAGGCATCACTGATATTATATTATCTTCATTTTTGTGATTCTGTGGTGAGCCTGTTGATACTAGGATATCTGTTTGTGTCTCTGGGGCCGCTTTTAGTTGATAAAGTTCTACGTTGTCATGCCGGACTGTACCGTCACTGTTTAAGCACCATGATTCCTTATCTACTCCACCTGAAAATTAATTAAGATAAATTATAATCAAGGAGAGCATGGCCTACAAACCAGCTATTCCATATTTTTCATTTACCAATACTGCCTATGTCTTCTGACTCTACTACTTTTAGTTCTTTAATTTAGCAGTCCGGTGTAGTTTTCACTATGGGTATTAAGCGTATAATTAGATATTAATCTTTTCACACCTAATGTGATTGTGTTGTTATAAGAAACAGTACTTAATAAAATAGAAATCATACCATGAACTTTATTTATATCTGTTTCCCGTGAAGCTAATCCAACAGCCCAAACACCACCTTGCTGTAGCTTTACCTCAAAGTAAGCCTTGTTTTGGACAAGTGGTGCATTGCCAAGTACACAACCAGACCCACATGCCCGTTGACCACCCTTTACAATTACTACTTCATGGCCTGTAATTTAATTAAGAAAATTATTATTTACAGTCCCCAAGTGATTGTATATAGTCCATAACAAAAAAGCTAGTATATGCAATAAAACATCCATAATGTATATAGACTTTAAACATAATCATATATAGCTGACATTCTATGGTAGAGAGAGAGTAATATATAATTATTAACATAGGATAACTATTTTTAACTCTCACATTTATTGTCTTGAAAAATATTAATGTCAAAAATAAAGATAATAATAATAGTTTCACAATAATGTTTATTTTTTTGTTTTTTTTTAGGACTAACTTTAGGAGGTTTGACTTAGAGTCTATCATAATGTCATTATTTTGTGGATGCAGTTTTATAATAAATAAAAGATTTATAGTTAATTTGATATGGTTAGCATAAAATATAAATAAAATCTTTATAGAACTTTGTCAGAAACATTTGTATCGTCAACATGCATAAGCTATAAAATCAGATGATTTAAAGTTTAAGTAAAGATTTTAGAACACGTACGTAAACATTTAGAAAGAAGTTATACCTACAAAAACAATATTTTTTTTTAAGTTTTTAAGAGGCAATCGCGACGATAAATCGAGAGTTTTTTTTTAGCAACCAACTAATAAGATTTTATATTTGTTACAATTATATTGGCATATAGTGATAAAATTATTATATTTATCTAGAAATACAGGAAACATAAATACCCATATGAAGAGTGTCCAGCTGAATTGGATTTTCTTTTACCCTAATTGGCACACTGGGCGTTAATGAGAACCCATTGACACAACTTTTCAAACAGCAAAACATTTTGTTCACGCTAATTTATTTTAAGGAAAAATCAATACACTTATTTGTTTTGTTCCCCTTTGATTTTTTGTTTGTAGAATGTAGATCAAGGCAAAACGTTCATCGAATAAATCAACGTTGTCATATGTCAAATGTCAACGCGTATATTATCAAATATAATATGCCACTAACAGCTATCAATCAAAAAAAGGTTTCAATTTTAACTTTATCTATGATTTGTTTAGTTACTCTTATTACTAAATTAAATTAAATAAATTAGTAAGCCTTACCATTAATGTTGTTAATATGAGAACCATAATGTAAAGTATGGTACAAAATAGGGACTGTAGTCGAAAGAACAAAGCCTGCCCATGGCACAGCCAAAGACTAGACGAATAAAAACAATGATAAAATGTCGAGTATATTTATAATATTATATTGTATGTTATTCAAATTAATTTAAATTAAACTAAAAATCAATTTACAATCATATGACTCCCTAGACAAAGAGCAATACAATATGACTAGTGATTATCCTTCGATATTAATTAATTATTATTGACATTCAATTATTAGATCAAACATGTATGGAATTGATTACAAATATTGATCGAGATAATTGGATCGGCCAAATTGGATTTAATTAAACAATTTGTGTTGACTTAGTTTATTGAATCCTTGTTTATATTTAAATATCAAATTCTTGATTGAAATTTTCCAGATATCTCTTATAGATTTTAACATAACACAACATACGAGAGCATTTATTTTCAATATAATATTTACTAAAGTTCGTACTTTTTAGTTACGAATTCGCCCACCGAGCGCTGCTGAGATATTCCTATTACGGAAAGTACTGACTTAATGTATTGTTTATTTATTTATAAGTAATCTTACAGCAACACATATACATAATTATAAAGGAAAACACTTAGACTATGTACAAAGCCATAACAGATTTAATTGATAAACAAAACGTACGAAACAGAAAACATGTCAATTAAGTATTTAAGTAAATAATTTTACTAATTTAATCATGCTACATACCTACGTATAATTTACTTACTGCGATACTTATTCGTTGAGCCAGGAATGCACCAGCTCTGGGGTCACCGGCACTATCTACCAGGAGCCAACTTATATCTTTAATAAGCGCCTGTGCACTTGAACCCCACGGCCCAAGAGTCTCCACTCAAAAGGGAACAAAATCGAAGTTGGAGGAAAGACTCTTATATTTGTGCCGTTTATTATTGCACGCCTCATTAGCGGAGCGGAGGCAGTGCTCTATTCTCGACATGTCAAAAAACCCAGTCTTTCGAAACTTGAATGACTTTTTTCTCACTAATATAACACTTACAGGATAATATGAGTGCACTGAGTGCACTAGTTAAATAATCTATCAAGCACATATGGTATTTTTTATGAACAATTATTTTGTTTAACATAGTAAATAATAACATTAAAATCAATCATTCTTGGACGTCCGTCAGTCTGTGTTTATGGATCCATGTATGTGGCAGAGAAATTGGTCGAAAAATTTATCGTACCAGAATACTTTTTTTCTTATTATATAAAGTTATACCCTGGGCTGATTCCTAGTTAATATTAGAGTTCTAAGTACTGTCGTTTAATTATAATTTGTAAAAAACTAAAATACGACTGTGTATTTGTATATCTATATCTACATTTATTTTAGTATATTTTTTTTCCTCACCTTAGAGTTATGACGCCACTATATATTTTTTTATTATATTATTGTTTTTTTCAATCATTCATTTTCATTTATTTTTTTATTATATTATTGTTTTTTTTCAATCATTCATTTATCTATATGCAAGAGTATGTGGAAAATCAAGATTCGCGCATGCGCTACGTAAATTTCGTTTTATAAAGTAGCGTGAGACTTAAAGATAATAATTTATTTGTTATTTTGTTTTAAAAAACTTGAGTTTTTGTTTTAGTTTTTTTTTTAAATGTGAATGACCGCTATAAGGCGTGCACTTTTGGATTTTCCAAATTTTTTTCTACCTGCTCTGCAGCCACCCCAGCCATATTAAGTAACTAGCTGACCCGGCGAACTTCGTTCCTCCTTACAGTCTAACAATATCGTGTTTTCTTTAGTTAAACTTATTTTAGGATTTCATTAAGGTTAACATTAATACAATTTTTTTTTTGCAAATACAGAAATTATTGCTTGACATTGCGAAAGAAGAATGGCAGTTTTACACATTATGCCTCTTCTCTCTAACGCCAATATTGCGATACTGCATGTTAAAGCACTTTCTGATATACAACATTTGCTGATGAGGTAACACATATCTTCGATCAAAATCAAAGCCTGGTTATGCATCTCCTCATTCACCTCAAGATCGGAATTTCTTGAACTGACACGAATTCGCCGTAAACTGATGCGTAGTTTTGTCAACAGATGGCACCAGATAGTGTTTGAATCCGTAAAATTAATTTATTTATTAATTGTTATTCGATCCACTCCAATGGGGCCCACACATAGATACTCTTTCGAATAGGCTGAGCTCTGCAGCATATGCAGTAAAGAAACTCCGACAGTTTACTGATAAGGACACGGCAAAAATTGTTTATCATAGCTACTTTCACAGCGTTATGTCGTACGGTATTCTACTGTGGGGTGCTGCTGCAGAGGTTCAATCCATATTTGTGCTGCAGAAGCGGGCTGTTCGGGGTATTTGTTGTGTTTCTCCGAGGGAGTCGGTACGGAATAAGTTTAAGGAATTAAATATTATGACACTATCTGGTCAATATATTCTTGAAGCCTTGTTGTATGTCCAAAAAAATATAAACGATTTTAAAACAAATGGTGACTTTCACCAGTATAATACGCGAAATAGAACTAATTTGAGTGTAAGACCAACCAGGCTCCAAAAGATAAACCACTCCTTATATGGAAATTGTATTCGTTTTTACAACAAACTCCCAAGCGAAATTAGAGTATTATCACTAAATAAATTCAAAGCCCTCGTTAAACGAAAATTAATCAACAAAGCTTTTTATAAATTTGAGGACTACTTAAATGATCCTAATCCTTGGCATTGAATTGCTCCAGTTCAAACAATTTGTATGACAATACTTGGCGATTAAAAAGAGTGGCGGAAAGTTTCTTGCCAGTTCTTCTTACCCGCTCTACGCCCTTGACTTGCGAACTGGTAGTAAATGTAAATTTACGATTAATTTGACTTGACGATTCAAAAGTGTACTTGGTTACCCACTTGAATAAAGATATTTTGAGTTTGAGTTACTCTTGAATAAATTCAAATTGTTCCCGCTTCCTTAAATATTTCCGCACACATTTGGTATGCTGGAAAATGTCTTTCTGAACGTGTAGGTAACACCGGCTAAAGTTCTTCGATTGTACAGTGATATCATATTAAATTTCTTAAGTCGCTGATGGTACGGGTGTCTATATAATAGGGGGGCAAACGAGCTTGCGGGACGACCAAAAAGGGCAGTCTACGCAGCCCATAGACACCCATTTTTAGTGGGTGCGTTGCCGGCCTTTGAGGGAGGAGTAGGCTCGCTTTTTGAACATTTGGAGGTCGTATATCTGAGGGAAGACCCCCCCCCGGGAGCTGATTCCACAGTTCGCTAGTTCGCAAAAGAAAATGCCTTGTGAAGCGGACCGTGGAAGACCTCCAACCATCAAGATGATGCTGGTGAAATTTAGAGGTCGTTCGGCTCGTACGGTGTTGAAAAGAGGCAGGAGGGATCAACCCAAACAATTCTTCCGAACACTCTCCGTAATAAGCTTTGTAAAAAACGCAAAGAGACGCAATGTCTCTGCGTAGCGAGAGAGAATCAAGCCGATCAGTAAGACATTGGAGATTGACAATTCGACAAGCCCTTCGCTGAATTTGGTCAAAAGGAAGAAGCTATGTAAAATCCTCTGCTTATGAAAGCTAGGTGTCACGTAAAAGATCTTTGAATGCTTTCAACGCGTTGCGAATGGATCGCATATAGTGGATTCCATATAATACTGCCAAATTCAACATGACTGCGCTGCACAAAATTGTTTTAGTCGTACAACCAAAAAAATCTGAATTCCGCTTAAGAAATCCAAGCATTCGTGCGGATGTGGTGACTACTTTATTGACCTGTGATACTTAGGTTCAAGTATCAGGTTTACTTTTCAAGTATATATTATTTATTTTCCTTATTTCCTATTTTTACAGTAACTTAATACCAATACAATAGAAAACTGAACTAAAAACATAATATAAACATAACAAGTAAAAACTTAAAACCTTAACCTTTTATAACTAATTATAAATAATGCAATTCTTGTGAATTCAGCCAGTGTGCAACTAAAAATATCCGTCTCACAAGCAATAGTGTTTAGGGTGCGTAAGACACGCGTAAATGGTGCTTCTCTGAGTAAGTTCGTAAGCGCCCGAGGCACTGCCGTCTGCCAGCAATTGCGACCGCTTACCACGCCGACTGTGGTTATTTGGCACACGCAGCCCCAGTCTCTCCAACATTTCCGCATTATATATTTTACCTCTAAGGACCTTAAAAACATATAATGTAAGGTCCCTCCTTACCTTTAACTTGAGAGCATCAAGTATTACGTCACGCAATTTTTGGAGATTCTTGACCCCCCCACATAACGCTCCGTAACGTTTTTCTGTACCCAATAGTAAAACGTTTCGTGACCACCTACACCACCTCTTTATACCTAAACTAGCGACCCGACCCGGCTTCGTACGGGTGCAATGCTGATAATAAATAGACCTTTTCAATGTTTACAATACTTAGTACATTATTTTGATAAATCTCGCAGGGTTCAGCCTGCGTTTGCAATGTAAGCGGAAAAATTGTAATTATTAACGACATCACATTAGAAACCTCAAAAATAACAGTATTTCTTCACTATTTAATGGATGTTATTATACATATAAACCTTCCTCTTCAATCACTCTATCTATAAAAAAATCCGTTGCGTAGTTTTAAAGATTTAAGCATACATAGGGATATAGGGACAGAGAAAG